CGTTCCCTGCGCCACGTGTCGCTTACGGGCACAGAGACCCGCGACTTCGAGGGCAATGACCGGCGCCCACCGCCTCCCATCCTTCCTCTACTCACCATAAAAGATGTTGCGCCACTCGTTCACTCAGCCTCATCCCTCACGGAACTCCACGTCCCTCAGCACGTCTACTTCGTGTTCCCCATCTTGAAACACCTCAAAAACCTCGAGGTCCTCGTGTTGGCCTACGAACACCCTAATTTCTCCACCGACCGCGTCACGTCGACCCCTCTCTTTCGCGAGGTATGCCTTCCACCTCTGGTTTTATCTCAAATACTCATTAACATTCATCACAGGCGGTCGACGCGCTCTGCACCAAATGGCCGCCCTCATCAACATCCCCTCTCCGCGAACTCCGCCTCGACTTTGGCACGAGCGCAGCCGCAGACGCGCGACCGTTTATGTGGGATCTAGAGCTGCAGCGCGAGCTGCTCGCGAGCCCGTTGTCCACGGCGTTCCCCCGCCTCACGACCGCGGACATGGTGCGCTTCGTGCGGTGGCAGCGCGGAGACGAGCAGTCGGAGTGGCGCCCGTTCGTGCCGCACGCATTCCGGGAGCTGGTGCGCGATGCGCTAGCAAGGGGAACACAATTTACCGATGTGGACGACTGCTTCGCGCCCCTGGACTACAAGTAATTAACTGTAAATCAAGGTGGGACATCTGTCCTTTCTCTCGTGCTCTCCTTTTGGCATCCCTTCGCTCGAAATGGCTTCTTGGTCCTAACTTACTGTACACTAATCCTAATCCACTCGTTCTTGGTCATCCAGCATGATTTGTATCCATTTAACCTGCACTCTTATATTTCTGTACCCTCAGCTTGGACGGTCCGGGTAATTAACTGTTTCTGAAGCTGCTCCTGGCACAAATGATATTGGCTCGGACATCTGAACCACGGGCGGTCGGATGAATTAGTTGTTTGTCAAGGTCGGGTTGGTCAGAGAACTGTTGTGAACGGCGGTCAGAAATCCATGAGCCAGAGTTCGAAGAAAAGCGGGTGGGGTGTACGGTACACAGCTGCGTCGCCTGGGGCTGAGATATTCGTCGTTCGAGTAGTAGACCCGGGTCCCGGGGTTCGACTCCCGGCACCCGCATGGGTCGCGAACCAGTAAACCTTTTCCCCCGACGTTGCCATTCTTTTGGTTTACGGTCGTGGTAATTAGCTGTTTCTGGGAAAGTGCTGCTACCGGTCCATGAATGTCACCATATCGTGGCCGGGCAGCTGAACATCTCGGGCGGTTGATTTGGTTGATTATCGAGGACAATCGGAGCTGAGATTCGAGAATTGTTGTACACTGAAAGCCGGGACGTTAACTAAGATCGCAGAGAGGTAAGGAAAGTGGGTGTGGTGTATGATACACAGCTGCGGCTCTTACCACCTGGACGGCTGAGATATTCGAACAGCAGAACTGGGTTCGGCTCCGGTCACCCGTACATTGGAAGACAACACGAAGAATCTTTTTCAGCCTGTGCTGTACTTGCTCTGGATTTTTTATCCGTTGCATCCCAGGTTCCTAGAGACGCAGACTGGATAGAATTTGCAAAGCTCAAGCAGGTACTGAATTGGGAAAGGATTTATTTCAGGTTGAGGTTTAAAAGATCCGTCACATTGAACATTGAGCCATAAAGCTATAACCAAGCTCGCAGAGAGGTAAGGAAAGCGGGTGTAGTGCATGGTACACGGCTGCGCCTCCTACGAAAACCGACTCAGAGATGTCAGCAGCAGAACCGGGTTCGATCGCCGGCGCCCACATATGGTGGTTCTACTGAAGTAATCTTTTTCAACCTTGCGATTTTCTGCGCGCGTATAGTCAACTGTTTCTAGAACAGTGTGGTACTGCTCCCCACGAATGATCTTCGGGCTGGGACATCATCTGAATCCCGGGCCGTTGAATTTTGATTGTTCAGCACGATCAGGTTGAGCAGATACTTTGCACGTTGAACCCTGAAAGTCGGTAGGTTAACCACACTTGCATAGGTAGGGAAGGAAAACGGGTGTGGTGTACGGAACACAGCTGCGTCTCCGTGTACGAAGCGGTTTGAAGAAATTTGAACAGCAGAACCGGGTTCGACTCCCGGCACCCACGTACAGTAGCTTATTGGCCAACCGTTTTTTTGTCCTCCTTCCTTCCAACCCTTTCGTGGCAACCTTTCTGATCATTTACTTTGCTTTGGTTAGCGTCCACACTTGGACTGCCTTCCGTTGAGGAGTATTTGGAATAGATTCAACCCACCAAGCAGGACCAAATTTCTGCAACACGTTGGGCTGAATTGTACTGTACGTCGAAGCGGTCAGAAATTCAGGGGTGAAATTAAGCTTAGAGGCAAGTAAGAAAAGCGGGTGTGGTGTATGGTACACAGCTGCGTCCCCGTATACGGATCGGCGAGAAATTTGAACAGCAGATCCGGGTTCGATTCCTGGCACCCCTATGAGTCTTATCCCGAGAGACTCTTTTTCAACCTTGGTATTGTTTCTTGTTTCCAGTCGTGATAGTTAACGGCCGTGTGGTACTGTCTGAATGCAACATATTCCGGCTCGGACACCTCTGGCGGTTGAATCAATTAATTATTCAGCAATGGCGGGGCAGATAACAGGTGTTGTACGGTGAAAGTGGGAGGTTAACCAAGCTCGCAGAGAGGTAATAAAAGCGGGTGTGGTGTATGGGACACAGCTGCGCGTCTTAGTCCCGTCACCGTTACTTTAAGCAGCAAATCCGGGTTCGATTCCCGGGCCCCGCATGTTTGAATGGGCACAAAGAGTCTTTTCGGACCTTGCTGTTTTAGTTTGCCCTCCTACGGTGAACTGTTTCTGGAACAGTCCACTGCTACTTACTCCTCAATCCAACGTATGCTGGCTCAGAGATCCCGCTTGGTTGAATTTTAATTGTTCAGCATTGATTCAGCAACCTCGGGTTGGGCAGATAACAGTTGTTGTTGTGCGATGAAAGTCTTGTGAAAGTCGATAGGTTAACCCACCTTGCAGAGAGGTAACTACAGCGGGTGTGGTGTATGGTACACATCTGCTCGGCTTAGCTCCTGATCCATCAGATCCAGCCTCAAGAAGCAGATCCGGGTTGAATTCCTGGCCCCCGCATAGTTGAATGAGCACAAAGAGTCTTTTTCAACCTTTTTCGATCGTGATACTCGACTGGTTCTGGTACACTCTGTCCAGTGTCCACGTATCCTCTCGTCTGGTTCAATTAATCAATCATTCCGTTTCAAGTTGAACCACGGGTCGGCCGCAGTCCATCAGTTAGGTTAGTTGTTGTGCAGAACGGGTGCTCGGAAGCCCATCGGTTAAACTAACTCATAGGTAGTGAGGGATGTGGGTGTGGTGTACGGTACGCAGCTGCATTGATGATTAAGGCGAATGCAATTTAGGCAGCAGACCCGGGTTCCATTCCCGGCCCCCGCATGGCCGGCAGAACGAACGGAGTGTTTTTCAACCTTTTTCAACCTTTTTTTTTTTTTGGTCTGACTTGTGATAAATGACGGTTTCTGAAGTGCACTTCCCCACGAATGCTAACATATCCTCCGGTGAGGTTGAATCAATTAATTACTCAACAATATCGAGTTGAACAGAGAACAGTTGTTGTTCTACGCTGAAAGTGGGTGGGTTAACCAATCTCATAGACGGTGAGGCAGGTGGGTGTGGTGTGCGGTACACACTAACACAGCTGCCGAGCTTTGCAGCATCCTATCGTGCAGTAGCAGCCCTAAGTTGGCCCTGGGTTTGATTCCCGGCACCCGCATATGGTGGTTCTACTGAAGTAATCTTTTTCAACCTTGCGGTTTTCTGCGCGAGTATAGTAGTCAGCTCTTTCTAGAACAGTGTGGTACTGCTCCCCACGAATGATCTTCGGGCTGGGACATCATCTGAATCCCGGGCCGTTGAATTTTGATTGTTCAGCACGATCAGGTTGAGCAGATACTTTGCCTGAAAGTCGGTAGGTTAACCACGCATAGGTAGGGAAGGAAAGCGGGTGTGGTGTACGGAACACAGCTGCGTCTCCGTATACGAAGCGGTTTGAAGAAAGTTGAACAGCAGAACCGGGTTCGACTCCCGGCACCCACGTACAGTAGCTTATTGGCCAACCGTTTTTTTGTCCTCCTTCCTTCCAACCCTTTCGTGGCAACCTTTCTGATCATTTACTTTGCTTTGGTTAGCGTCCACACTTGGACTGCCTTCCGTTGAGGAGTATTTGGAATAGATTCAACCCACCAAGCAGGACCAAATTTCTGCAACACGTTGGGCTGAATTGTATTGTACGTCGAAGTGGCCAGAAAGTCATGGGTGAAATCAAGCTTATAGGCAGCGAGAAAAGCGGGTGCGGTGTATGGTACACGGCTGCTCTGCCTGCGGCATTGGCACTCAAAGTTTATGCTTAAGCAGCAGATCCGGGTTCGATTCCCGGCACCCGCATACGTTGTGTTGACAGCATTTTTTGCATCCTCGTTGTGTCGTTGTATTACAATTTTCTTTCAGTTTCAGTCAAAGTTAACCCAGGTTCCCGGAGACGCAGACGGGTTTGCAGAGCTCAATCCTGAATTGAGGGAGGATTTAATTTAGTGTTTTGACATGGAGGTTGAGGTTCAGAAATCCGTCATATTGAACATTAAAGTCATGGCCTCACCGAGGTCACAAGCCAGGGATTGAAGCGGGTATGGTGTACGGTACACAGCTGTGGCCTTAGCTCTGGATAGTGTGACTTTAAGCAGCAGATCCGGGTTCGATTCCCGGCACCCGCATGCAGCAGTGTGAGAGATTGTTTTTTCAACTTTGCTTTTTGGTCTTGTACGGTGACCTGTCTTCTGAAGCTGCTACTGCCCCACGAATGTTAACAGATCCTGGCTGGGACATCTAAATCCGGGGCGGTTGAGTTTTGATTGTTTAGCAACTTCAGCGGGTTGGGCAGAGATACGCGGACAGTCGGTAGGTTAATCAACCTCACAAGTAAGGAAGGAAAGCGGGTGTGGTGTATGGTACACAGCAGCGCCGCCTAAGAGGCCGTCGGTCATTGTGACTTTGCGCAGCAGAACCGGGTTCGATTCCCGGCACCCGCATACAGTAGTTCGCCGAGCCTCTTTTTCAACCTTGCTGTTTTGGTCTGCACTCGTACTTATGGGTGAAGTGTTTCTGAAAATTGCGGCTACTGCCCCACGAATGATATTCTGGCTCGGACATTTGAATCTCGGGTGGTTGAATCTTGATTGGTTACGGGTTGGGCAGATAACAATTGTTGTACCCTGAAATTCGGTAGGCTAACCAACTTTATAGGTAAGGAAGGAAAGTGGGTGTGGTGTACGGTACACAGCTGCTCCGCCTACGAGTATGGCCAACCTACTTGAAGCAGCAGAGCCAGGTTCGATTCCGGCACTCACATTGAATTTCTTTAGTCTGTCCTTTTTCGTCCTCCTACCGACCGTCTTGGTGGCAACTTTTTTGGTGGTTTCCTTTTCTTATTATTACTTGAAGCCTCAGATTCCGTTCCGACTTCCGTAGTCGGATCTGGATCTACCAAATTATTGAACAGACCAGGAGCGAGTTTCCGCAACATATTCCGCTGAGAGAGGTATGTCAAAGATATGTATTAAGAGATTCAGTTAATCGGGCTGATAAGGAAGGAAGGAAAGCGGGTGTGGTGTATGGTACACAGCTGAAGCTGCTCGTGGAGCTGTCTGGTGAAAACATATTCACGCAGCAGACCCGGGTTCGATTCCCGGCGCCCGCATATCGGAGCACCGAAATGAGTCTTTTTCGACCTTGCTCTTTTTGTCTTTCGTATGGTGAACTGTTTCTGAAGCTGCTACTGGCACAGATATTCTGGCTCGAGCCTCGGACAGCTGAATCCCGGGTGGTTGACGAGCAATACCGCATTGGGCGGAGAACTCTTGTTGTATGCTGAAAGTTAGTAGGATAACCAGGCTCTGGAGAGTAAGAAAAGTGGGTGTCGTGTATGGTACACAAATGGTACATACACAGCTGCATCGGTTAACTGAGGCGAAGCAAATTAGGCAGCAGATCCGGGTTCGATTCCCGACACCCGCATACGTTGTGTTGACAGCATTTTTTGCATCCCCGTTGTGTCGTTGTATCGCGATTTTCTTTCAGTGACAGAATAACCCGGGTTCCTGGCGACACAGACTGGTTTGCACTAGCCTGGATTCCTGGTACTAAATTGAGGGAGGATTTATTCTAGTTTGACTGCAGTCTGCGAGGTTGAGGTTCAGAAATCCGTCACATTGAACGTTGAGCGCATAAAGTCATGGCCTCACCAAGCTCACAAGCCAGGGATTGAAGCGGGTGTGGTGTATGGTACACAGCTGCTGGGCTTTCCCTTGTGAGACACTTTCGAGCAGCAGACCCGGGTTCGACTCCCAGCACCCAACTTGTTGTCCCAAAAAAAGTTTTTTTTCTGCTCTTCTCCTGCGTCTCGTTGGGCGGGTTTCTTCTAAAAAATCGACAGCGCCCACGGTCGGACTCCGTTCCGTCCGTGTGGGATCCGGTGGTACAAAATTAACTCCCGTCAGGAGTGCCAGGATTCCGGAACGGGGATTCTTCCCTCTTGAAACTTGTCCGTCGAATGAGACCGAAGGAGACTTGGATGGTAAGAGGAAAGGCACCGAACAGCACGCACGTACGCAGATCTCCTCCGGGACGTGTGGGGTGACAGTGCCCCGCTCGGCGCTGTGATAAGCATCAGTGACGTGACAGCGTGACACGCCCTCCTTCTGCTCAGCGCTCGTGCCCGCCGCTCGTTCCCGCCGTCTGTCTGTTGGATTTGCGCAACCGTAGCGCAAAGGTAGAAGAGAAGGAAGAAGGAAGAGTTGTATGGACGCAGCCGGCACGGACTCGCCGCCACTCCGGAGCACCATCCTCGGCACCTTCCTAGGCCGCGGTCGGCCCCGCAACAGCTCGCAGTCCCACATCGATCCTCCTTCCCTTAACCCCAACACCAATAACAACCCCGGGAGAGAGCTCAGCCCGAGCCCACCACACCCGCACCCGCACCATCTGAACCTCGGTCTCGGGATCGGACTAGGGATCCACCACGCCAGCCCGCCGAGTCCGTCTGCGAATATGCCTATGTCCGGGAGCGGCGGGGGGAGTGCGAATCGGCGCGCGAGTCGGCAGCCTACGGGTGGTGCAGGAGCGCAAGGTGGTGGTGGGGGAGGGGGGACGTCGCCCGTCCCCGCGGGGCTCAATCTGAGCCATATGCTCAGACGACGAAGGAGCGCGGGGAACGTTAGCGCTGTGCCGAGCGCGGGGCCCGTGCCGCCGACGCCTGTGGGACGGGGTGGGCTGCCCACCGCCGCCAACACCAACACCAACGCCAACGGGCCGCCTGCAGCAGGAGCGACTGGGGGAGGGACAGGCGCCCCACACCGCATCCGGCTCGTCCCGCACCTCGACTCGCGCCGCTCCCTCCGCTTCGACCCCATCGCGCGCGACCTCCGCGCCGGCGAGCCCGCGCTGCGCATCGGGCGCTTCACCGATCGGAGTGGGCTGGGGCTCGCGGCGGTGAATGCGCTGAGCACGAACAAGATTGCGTTCAAGAGCAAGGTGGTTAGTAGGGCGCATGCGGAGGTGTGGATTGAGGGCGATGCGAGCGCCGGTGGGGGTGGGGGAGGGGTGCCGAAGTTTTTTATCAGGGACACGAAGAGCAGCAGCGGGACGTTTTTGAATCATGTGCGGCTGAGTCCCGCGAATACGGAGAGGTGGGTCTTCTGCTTCCTTTTTTTTTCTTTTTTTTACATGTTTTGGTGGGCGTTACGGTGGTCTATACTTTGCCGTCGTTATTCCCCACTTTCTCTATCTCCCTTTTCGTCCACTACATATTTTCTTCCTTATTTTCGTACGCCACCTATCTTCCCCGTCTTACCCCATCCTTTTCTTCTCCCCCTCACCCCTCCTCGCCTTTTTGGACGATTTTATTTCGTACGCATCACACCGTTGCCGCACTCCGTCGTACTCCCCATTTTTTTTCGTACTCCCCTCCCCACTCGTTCCCCACTTTCCCCATCCCCCCTCCCTCCCCCATTCTCGCTCTCCCATCCTCGCACTCCCCAGTCCCTTCCTCCCTTGCCCCTTCTCCCCTCGTCTTCCTCCTCCCCCTTCCTCCTCCTCTTCATTCTCCTCCCCTCCCCCATTCTCCCCCTCTCTCCCCACTCTCCCCCCTCCCCTCCCCTCCCTCCCTTCTTCCCTCCTTCTTCCCTCCTCCCCTCCCTTTATTTTCCCTTTCCCTTCCCTCCTCCCTCCCTCCTCCCTCCCCTCCCCTCCCTTCCTCCTTTAACCTCGCTTCCCTCGCTTCCTCCTCTTCCCTTTCTTTCCCCCTTCTCTTCATCCCATTTAAATCCACGCTAACGCATCGCACAGCCGCCCCCACCAGCTCAAAGACGGCGACATCCTGCAGCTGGGCGTGGACTACCAGGGCGGCGCGGAGGACATCTACAAGAGCGTCAAGATACGGGTCGAGCTGGGCCGCGAGTGGCAGGCGGGGGTTAATGCGTTTAAGTGCGTGTCTGACTTTTGTTATCTGGCTGTGATTCGCGCGGGTTCCTACATACGATTTTCCGCTGCCCCGCATCTCCGGTGCGACGGGCGGGGAGAGTTACCTCTCATCGTCCTTGCTTTTGGCGCGTCTTTGCTTGGGGGGCGTGCGTTGTCTTTCTCTTTCTCGTTTTGGGGGTTTTTTTTTTCTGGCTCGGGAGGCGCGCGGTGCTTGCCGATGCGCCCGCGCCTGCCCAGCGTATTTCTTTTCTTTTTCGGCCGGCGCGCGGACGGCGCGGGGAGGGAGAGATAGTTGGGGCGTTTTTTTGGTCTGCATGGGGGCTGTGGGTGGTGCTGCGGGGGGTCGAGGCGGCGACCGCCTGACAACGTCTCTTGGTTACGACATTCATTTCGGCGTCGTGGCTGTTGACGTACGGTCGGCGAGCGGAGCTCTAGACAGCCCGCTTTTTACTTGTTCCATCCTTTTCTTTTTGTTTCGGTATTTGTCGGCGTCCTGTGTGTCGGTGTACGGTGTCCAGCGTATCTCCATCCCCTCCTTTCACCCCCCTCACAACGATACTAACCTTTTCCCTTCGCACAGCACGACCGCCCTCAAGAACCTCAAGTCGCTCGCGCTCGGGCCGGGCGGGGCTGCGTCCGCGTCCGCGCCCGCCGCGGGGGAGAAGAAGCGCAAGGCGGGCGGCGGGGCGCAGGGGATGGGGATTCCTGATTGTTGTATCTGTGAGTCGATGTTCTTCTTCCTCGTTGCTATATGCGCTATGTCCTTCGTACATCTCACATCGATACCCTTCGTGGCCATACATTCACATTTCTTTCTTACACATACATCCTCCTATATACTTTCTATTCCCCCCTCCCCACCCTTCGCTCCCCATCTCCCTAATCTCCGTCCAAAGCCGCTCCTTTGTACTTACCTTGTTCTCCCCCATATGTTCCTTCCATTCCTCTCTCCCTCCTTTGACTCCTCTCCCTATCCCTCCCTTCGGCCGCTCCCGCTCTCCTCATCCTCGTACACCTCCCCCTCCCCCGCCTCCCTCCCGCCCGCGCCCATCTGCATCTTTCTTTGCCTACTCCCACTCCCACTCGCGTCCTTCTCCCTTCCGTCTCGGTTACTTGTACTCTTTCTTGCTTGTACCCTCCCCCTCCCCCTTCCTCCCCCGCTTCCGCCTCATATACTTGCCCTTGCCCTCCCACCTCCCCTCTACCTCCGCCCGTTCGTTCCCTTGCGTCCTTACAGTCTTTTTTCATGTGCCACCTTTTCCCCCTCTTTTGACTTGTGCCACTTTTCCCCACTCTTTTTACATGTACCGCCTTTCCCCCCCTCCGCCCGTTCCCTTCCCTTCTCTTTCTCTTTTCTTTCCTCTTTTACACGCGCCTGTCGATCTCACACTAACCACCCCGTCTTCGTCTTTCACACAGGCCTCTTCCCAGTCTCCATCCGCCAAGCGCTCTTCATCGCGCCCTGCAGCCACGCGTTCCACTACAAGTGTCTCCGCCCGTTGTTGGAGACGCATCATCCGGCGTTTAGGTGGGTGTTTGTCTTCCGTCTTTT